GATTTTATTTATTTATTTGAGAGAGAGAGAATGAGAGACAGAGAGCATGAGAGGGAGGAGGGTCAGAGGGAGAAGCAGACTCCCTGCCGAGCAGGGAGCCTGATGCAGGACTCGATCCTGGGACTCCAGGATCATGACCTGAGCCGAAGGCAGTCGCTTAACCAACTGAGCCACCCAGGCGCCCCTGTGCCTGTCTTTCTGAGTCTCCACCAGACCTCAACTCCTGGGAGACAAGACAGTGCGTTTTCAGTATCTGTTTTTCTAGGACTTAAACTCAAAAATATTAGTGGAAAGAAAGAAAAATGTATAGAATAACCTATTAGAAGCTAAAAGTTTATAGACTGTAAATATTGTGTGTATTTGGGATTTGAGGCAGTTATTCAAGTGGAGTCAGAGACAAAATAATTGGATTCTGGAAATGGTTTCATTGGGGGAAAATCTGAAGTCATGGTCAGGCTTGGACAGAAACACTAAGAGGAAAGATGATAGCTATTTTTAATATCTCAAGCTCTTACATAAAAGGGAATGTTTCATGCTTTTCCAAGGGCAGAAAAGAGCATCCACAAACAGAAGCTGCAGTGGGAAAATGTTGGTTAATATTAACTAGGACCAAGAATGTCTCCTCTCATAGGTAGTGACCATCACTGAAGGGACCAAATAGTTAGTGGAACACTCAACATTTTTAGTGGAGGGAGTACCCACCCAGCTTTGGGGCTGAGAGAGGTCAAGTTATCATTGTATATCTATAGTAAGCAAGACAAACTAGGATTCTCTTCAAAGATGGGTATATAGTCTGGTTCAATGCAAAACGTGACTTTTTTTTTTAATACCACCTTATTGGTACTTAAACATTAATTTTGGTTTGAGCGTTGCCCATTTATTCTGGACATTCTTTTATATATTTCAATACAGATATATATATTATGCATTTTAAGTAACTGTTAATTACACAAAAATTATTCTAGGATTTACTCACTTCTCCCACAATATATTTGCTTCCTCCTTGTAATAGGACAAAAAAAGAACATGGGCTTTTTAAGTCCAGCATGTGTCCTCTTCCTCTTTTTTGGAGTCAAAGTATATTGCCAATATGAAAATTATCAATGGGATGAAGATTATGATCAAGACCCAGATGATGTCTACCAACCAGAATTCCAATTTCATCCAAATGAGGACTTTCAAATTCCTTTTCATCAGCATGTGTTAGGCTGTGCCACTGAATGCTTCTGTCCACCCAATTTTCCATCATCAATGTACTGTGAAAATCGCAAACTCAAGACTATCCCACGTGTCCCAGCACACATACAGCAGGTCTACCTTCAATTCAATGAAATTGAGGCTGTGACTGCAGATTCATTCATCAATGCAACTCATCTTAAAGAAATCAACCTCAGCCACAACAAAATTACATCTCAAAAGATTGATCACGGTGTGTTTGCTAAGTTGTCAAATCTACTACAACTTCACCTACAGCATAACAATCTAGAAGAATTTCCATTTCCTCTCCCTAAGTCTTTGGAAAGACTTCTTCTTGGCTACAATGAGATCTCCAGGTTGCAGACAAATGCCATGGATGGGCTAGTAAACTTGACAATGCTTGATCTCTGTTATAATCATCTTGAGGATTCCATGTTACAAGAAAAAATACTTGCCAAAATGGAAAAATTAATGCAGCTCAACCTATGTAATAACAGATTAGAATCAATGCCTCCTGGTCTGCCTTCTTCGCTTATGTACCTGTCTTTAGAAAATAATTCAATTTCTTCTATACCAGAAAATTACTTCAATGAACTTCCCAAACTTCAGGCTCTACGAATGTCACACAACAAACTACAAGACATCCCATATAATATTTTTAATCTTTCCAACCTTATAGAGCTCAATGTTGGACACAACAAACTGAAGCAAGCATTCTATATTCCAAGAAATTTACAACACCTATACATAGAAAATAATGAAATTGAAAGTATGTAAAATTTCATTATCTTTTTTAAAGACAAAAAGAATAGTATGTTGACCTTTTAAAATGTTTTTGAAGATTTTTATTTATTTGAGAGAGAGAGAGAGAGAGTGAGAGCGAGCATGAGTGGGGAGGAGAGAGAGAAGCAGACTCCCCGCTGGGAGCAGGGAGCCCAATGCAGGACTCAATCCGAGGACCCTGGGATCATGACCTGAGCCCAGACTGAGCCACCCAGGGGCCCTATGCTGACCTTTTAAAGAATCAATCTTTAAAAACAAATCTATGCTTTACATAAAAATAGTTGATTTGAAGTAGCTAGGGAAATGGCCAAAGCTGGCCTCAGGAAGGTGTGCTATAAAGTTTTATTTTCTTTCTTTCTTTTTTTGTTTTTAGATTTTATTTATTTATTTGACACAGAGAGAGTGAGCACAAGCAGGGGGAGCAGGAGAGCTTAACTGACTGAGCCACCTAGGCGTCCAAGTTTATAGTCTTGTTTTTTTTTTTTTTTAAAGTTTTATAGTGTTTTCTAATAAATGTTATCACCTTGAACACTGACAAGTAGTATTGCAGAGTATATGAAAAAATAGGAGTATCCTGAGTAGTTGGGACTATAGGTGATTTTTACTTTTTTCTTTTTGAGATTTCTACTAAGAATTTATTATGTAACAAATAAATAGCCAACAAAGCCACCGTTTTTTAAAATTTTAATTCCAGTATAGTTACCACACAGTGCTGTGTGAGTCCCAGGTGGACAATACAGTGACTCAGCACTTCCACACATCACCCAGTGCTCATCAGGACAGATGCGCTCTGAAAGCCATCATTTACTTTGAACATATAACTCATCTGTAGTTTCATTTTCTTCATTTTATTATTTGATTACTGTAAAAACCAATTAAACCTAATTCTACCTATAAGTATTTTAATAAGACTGTATCTCATATTTTAATAAAATCCAATGTAGGATTCTAGATGTAATGCAGCAGGATTAATCTTTAATTTGTATTTTTCAGATATCAATGTTACAGTGATATGTCCATCTGTTGACCCACTGCATTACCACCACTTAACGTACATTCGTATGGACCAAAATAAGCTAAAAGAGCCAATAAGCTCATACGTTTCCCTCTGCTTCCCTCATATACACACTATTTATTATGGTGAGCAAAGAAGCACTAATGGTCAAACAATACAACTGAAGACCCAAGTTTTCAGGAGATTTCAGGATGATGCTGATAGTGAAGAACATGATGATCACCAAGAAGGTCCAGAACAAGAAGCAACAGAAGAAAACACTGACCCTCACTATTATGGAAGTCAAGAATGGCAAGAAACAATATAGGTATACGTTTACGATTTTATACAATATTATTATTCAATATTAATTTAATTAAACATGGAAGGCTCACAGTAATGTATCCAGAATCACGTATAAGATCAGACTGAATTTAATTTAACATTTGCATCATTACATAGGATTCAAACTTACTTAAAATGACATAAGTCTTTAGAAATACAAATTAGAATCATAAGTGGGAATAAAAAACTAAACTTTAAACATAAAGTATTATCAAGCTGAGGAAAAAAGCAAGTATGCCATCGCTAGTGATATTAACTGTTCTAAGAGTGATGAAAGCAGCAGCACTAGAAGTCAAGAACTAGAGGAGGTCAGAGCTGAGATGCCCAGGCTTATGTTCCTGTAACGCACAGCCATTCACTTAGGAGTCAATTATTTTTCTTTGACCTGATCTCCAGAAAAGCTTTCACACTTGTATGTGAAATCTTATCACCATGACATCCACCTCCCATCCACCATCCCCACCTACCACTGAGAGCAACAGAGGATGCTTCTGATTTTCAGAAGAGGTCATTCTACTAAGGTTCCAAGACTTGTCGGTTCATGAAATCAATAGGTCTTTGTATTTCTCTCAGAGCACCAAAACAACAAAATTCTAAAACCTGCATTTGGGTAACTAAAAAACACCAAATTGTCTCATCACAATCCATATTTTAGCAGATTTCAGCAATTGTCCAAAACAATCTGTCTTCCATTTTAACTGAGATAAATTTTTTTTTTTTTAAAGATTTTATTTATTCATTTGAGAGAGAGAATGAGAGAGAGAGCATGAGAGGGGTGAGGGTCAGAGGGAGAAGCAGACTCCCCGCTGAGCAGGGAGCCCGATGCGGGACTCGATCCCGGGACTCCAGGACCACGACCCGAGCCGAAGGCAGTCGCCCAACCAACTGAGCCACCCAGGCGCCCTGAGATAAATGTTTTTATAGTAAACTCACCAGGGAAAGTTTTTTGTTGTTGTTGTAGTTTACATAGAGATTTGCTAATAAATAACTGCTTTGCTCACAAGGTTAATTTAGCACACAACAATATACCAGCTTTATTAAAACACTTCCATTTTCCTAGCACGATATAGTAGAAACATGTATGTGCACTAGCCAGTATTTATTTAATTGGTGCTAAAGTTGAATAGAGTTCCTTTACAATTTGGACAAGCTTTGATATCTTCTTTAAAACCTTAGACGCACCTATTATTTAATCTATCATTTCGAAGTATTTTAAGTACGCCTTGTAACAAAGGTGATGGAAGTGCTGTGATGAGCTCTCCTGACTTATCAGCTGACATTTCACAGAGTTCCTCAGATGAGGAAGAGAGATGGGGCGACCTACACAGGGAACCCAAACAATAAACATTAACAATGTGGACAACAGGCCAGGACCAGACAAGTAAAACTTTATTGTAGGAGTTTTCAACTGGCGAGTCTTTATTTTGCTGGAGATAAAGTGTAAAATGAAGCCCCTAATGCTCTTTATTTCTTTGAGTAAGTTATTAGCATTAGCAGAAACAAAACACCCACCTGTCCCCAAGGACAAGCTCAGCCATTCAGAATGAACACAAACAACACTCCATTCATTCATTTAATTAACATTCATCAAGGCATTTGGTGTGTAGGGGTTAGCAATAAGGGCAAGAAGCAGAATGTACATGCACCCTTGGCATCTCAAGACACAAGGGTGAGGGTAGCAGAGCAAACGCTAGTAATGTGGACAAAGCACACTTTCAACAGAGGTTTAAAAAAAAAAAGGAAGGAAGGAAGGGAGGGAGAAAATTTAAGGACCACCTCCCCCTTTATTGAAATTCTTAAAAATAGGCTTATAAATTTAAATATTACGAGCTAATATTGGAAAATACCCCTATGGGTATTTCAGAAAAAGATACAACTATCTCTAACCTAAAACCATTTAAAATCTAATGAGAAGCCATCAGGGAAACGCCAATGAAAACCCTAATGAGAGACCCTTCCACACTCACTGGGATGGCTAGAACCAAAAAGACAGACACAGAACAGATGTTATCAGCAAGGAGGCAGAGAAAGTAGGGCTCTCATATGCTGCTGGTGGGATGTCCAATGGTGAAGCCGTTTTGGAAAGCAGTCTGGTACTTCAAAATTTAGAGTCACTTAGGATGCAGCAATTCCACTCCTAGATACATACTCAAGAGAACTAAACACATATGTTCACACAGAAACATGTAAACAAATGTTCAGAGCAGCACTATCCATTAGGAGCCAAAAAGTGGAAAGCATCCAAATGTCCATCAGCTGATAAATGGATAATTAAAATGTGGTATATATACACAACGGAATATTATTCAGCTAAGAGAAGAAATGAAGTGCTGATATGTCATGCTACCAAATAGATGAACCAGGAAAACATCTCACGAGGTGAAAACTCAGTCACAGAAGACTGCGCATAGTATGACTCCATTTAAATGAAATGCTCAGAACACGCAAATCTGTAAAGACAGAAAGATTCCCGGTTGCCTGGGGCTGCGGGAGGGGAAGAGAGGGAAAGTGGGAGTGACTGTTTTTGAGGGAATAAAAATGTTCTAAAACTGATTGTGGTGACGGCTGTACAAATCTAAAAATACTAAAAATTACTGAATCGTAGATTTTAAAATGGTGAACTGTATGAGGTGTGAATTGTCTCAATAAAGCTGTTAATAAAAAACTTACCGAAGAAAATAAGATCAACTCATTCTAACACAAGGAAGAAAGAAATACAATGCTAACATGGCAGTAACTTTGAAAAGACTATGGGAGCACAGACAGATATCCGAACTTTATTTCTGGTCAGGACGCAGTGAAGTAGCTCAAGGTTTCCAGAAGAGGTGGTACCTTGATGTGTGAGCAGGAACTGATTGGCAGGAGTGGAGAAACAAGCTCCCGAGGTGAGATGAATATAAAGACATGGTCATTACTTCTTTCACCTCTTGCACAGTTTAAAAAACAAAAAACCCTCCAATTTTCAGAATTCTGGAGCTTCTTTTTATCCTCCTATATTGATATTTTAAAATCCCCAGAGAACAGGCTTTGTTAAGAATAAAACTGCACAATTTAGCAATTGGAAACAAGGAACGTGAAATCTGATAAGCCCTGGCAGAAGCCAGACTTGAGACTCCTAAGCCAGATGCCAGAGTAAGATCTGGAACTCTGAAGCTCCCCTTTCCGCATTCCTACAAGGAAGCTGGTTCTCCTAGGGCTACTAAAAGAATAAAGAGAATTCGTCTATGTAACAGAGCAATGAACAAAGTGCATGCCAGTTCCAGGTACCCAACAAGCAGTAACTAGTACTTCAGCATGGCCAGCCTAGCAGCCTGCTAGATCTGAGTGCCCCCAGATGTCAGACCTCGGTGTGTTCTCAGGGACCCTAGCAAGGAACCAGCATCTTCGTGGTTCCTTCCAAGATTCTATTCGTACAAAAGATGAGTGAACAAGAGAGATTTTACTAAAGGTTTTCTTAGGGAGAGAGTAGAGGGTACTTACATCCTACACCCCAAACAAACATATTCCAGGTCACTATTTGCTAGTTCAGCTTTCCAGAGCACCCTTAGACAGCCTGCCAGGGCGGGGAACACAGTTCCCTCCACCCCCTCCCTGGGCACTGTGCCCTGGTTCCTCTGGCTAGAGTAGCTCCTCCAGCCTAATTGGAAGGGTTCAACTCTGCTCTGGCTCCTCCCTCCAAAGGGGTGTGTATGCAAATGGGTCACCCAGCTGCAGGGCCCAATGAGGAGGCAGGTTAACAACCATCTTTTGCTACTTGAAAATGGCCCTCAGGAACTCATACCCACCCCAAGTATTTCTCATTAAAAAACAAAATGAAACCCAATGCTTTCCTTAGGAGAAATTCAAGAATAAAGTAACTACTTCCATAAGTAGCACATCAAGATTGCACAATTATCTACCACAACTACAGACAAAACCAGTTCATCTGATATTTACAGCAGGGGAAAAAATGAAAATTCATCTATTTTCTCATTACGCTTAGAAGTATTAGTTAGCTACTAGGCTGAACTGTATTTGTGACCACTGACAAATGAATCCAAATCAGTCCAGAACCAGGTTTGATGAGGCAACAGAAGGCAAGCTGAGGACAAAGCAGAAGCTGACACCCCACAACCCCGCCTCCCATGGGATATATGTGACATTCCTCTGGCACTCCTGGCTGCCCTATAGGAAAAATAGTTAAATTACAGAGATCACAATCCTACAAGACATGAGTGTCCCTCAGTTTACAAATGTCTTAGCAATCTACAAGAACAAAGCATTCCTGTCATCAATAACCTAGCTTCCAGAAGGAAATGTAGATACAATTAAATGCCCTTATACCCTGCAGCCCATTGAGAGATAACTGAAGTGGGCAGAGTTTAATGTTCCTCCAGGAAGTTCCAAACTATCTTAATGTCAACGCCTTACTAGCGGGGTCAACAACCTCAACTTGACAATGGCAAGGTCTCTGGTATCTCGTAGGTCCTCTTTAGCATATGAAAGTTCTTTGGAAACCTCCCTTTTTCCTAACTACCCCCAACCCCATAGTATGTAATCAGCCACCCCTCACAGCCCGGGGGCAGCAGCTCTTTCTGCCCATGGGTCCTATCCCCGTGCTTTAATAAACCACCATTTTGCACCAAAGATATCTCAAGAATTCTTAGTTGTGGGTTCCAGACTCCACCCCACTGAACCTCACCTATATTCCAAAAGCCCATCAGGTTTAGTTAACAAACAAAAGCATAATATATGATTAGCTTTTAGAAAGGATATAAATAAAGTCTATTTCATAAATTTGCTCACAATAAAACTGGTTGAGAATGTTTACCTTGTACTTACATATTACCTGAAACACTCTACATTTTCCCTTTATTCCTCTGGTTGGGACCACTAAATAAAGCGCAGATGTGTTCATATCATGTAACACACTTAACCAACTCCAAGGGGGAAAAAGAGAAGAAATAAACCTAGTCTCTCCTGTATACTGTTACTGTTGCAAAGAATTCATAGGACCCAAAGGACGGCTAGAACTAAAGCCCTGGTTTCCTGATTCCAAATCCATTTTTCCCCCTAATTCTTGGAAATAAAGAATAACAGCAGCTGGAAACAAAATTAAACCATAACAGCTAAAAAAAACCCTAAAGTTTCTCATATGTTCCAAATTCCTAAATAAATAAACTATGCCTAGCAAGTAAATATCACAGTCTCATGGAAATTACATGGAACTTATATTACTTTACAGGCTTAGTTAGGCTGCGAATTTACTATATGGGGATTTATGTACTACCTGGAAAAACTCACAAGTACAGTAAGTTTTTAACATGAATCCTTCCTCACATCAGGTCATAACTCCTCCCCCATTAAAGTTCACCCTTTGGTCCGGTAAATACTTGGGTTCTCACTTTATCTCACCTGACCACATGACTAGGCTTCAGGCATAAGAAGATTTGGGATGGAGATCATAGACTTTCCATAAAATCCTAGAATGTTGCCTAAAAGGGACTATAAATATCTAGTAACTGAATGATTCTCAGCGGTGGTAATTTTGCCCTCCAGGGTGCGATACTGTGATTTATAAGAAAGATATATTGGGTCTTCACATTCATGGTTCCAGGCCCACAATTCCCAAAACCCCTGGAATTTCCTAAGCTTAGAGAGTGATTAAGGTGTCTTTTGTTATGTTAATGCAGATGACTTTAGGGGACCCCCTCAAGAGGGGGGTGCACTGGCTGCCAGGAAGATCAAGTTTTCAGTCCCAAGGCACCTGCAA